CTCAGGAGGCAGAGGCAGGAGGATCTCTGTGAATTCAAGGCCAGCCTGGTCTACATAGTGAGTTCTAGGACAGCTGGGACTACAGGGAAAGTCTATCTCAAAAAGACTAAAAAAAAAAAAAGAGAGAGAGAGAGAGAGAAAGAGAGCTAAATGATATCAACTATTATGAGTTCAATGTGTCTTCCTTCAGAATACATATGCCAAAGTCCAACACCCAAAATGACAGTACGTAGAGGAAAGGCCATTGAGGAGATTCAAGTTACATGAGGTCATAAAAGCTTGTGCCCTAATCCAAGAAAACTGATGTCTTTTTAAGAGAGGCTAGGGATGGGTAACAGATGATGACATCTGAGGACACAGAAGCAATGTGGTTGCTTGCAAAGAAAGGCCTCAAGAGAAACCAAACCTAACAGTACCTCCATCTTGTACTTCTAGCCTTGAGAACAGTGTTGTATGAGCGTAGTATTCTTTTTCTTTTAACATTTTATTTTTTTTATGTGCACGAGTGTATTGCCTGCATGTATGTAAGTGCATCTACGTCATGTAATGCCTACAGAGGCCAGAGCAGAGCATTGGATCCCCTGGAACCGGAGTTGTGGACAGCTGTTAGCTGCCACATGGGTGCTAGGAAGCGAACCCAGGACCTCTGCAAGAGTAGCCAGTGCTCTTAACCACTAAACTTCTTGTTATGGCAAACCTAGTTGATTTAAACCAACTTCATAAATTGTGCTTTTTAGTTACAAAAAATAACATTATAGTTCACATTACAGTCTCAATTTTTTGACACTAAATATAATATGAGAATACAGAAATTATCTCATTTTATTAATATTGGTTCTAGGAGATAAGTAATCTGGCAAGAATCAGCTCATGAAAGGCAAGGTTGAAACCCAAAGCTCAGATCTGACTCCCAAGTTCAGTCATACAACTGTAACATTCTTTACATCTAATGTGACGTATTTTGAAATTCCAGACATTACTTACTTTTGTACTAAATAATTAGCATCTTTGTTTTAAAAGTATAAAATGACAGTGGGAGAATGTCTTATAACCCTAAACATTCCTTTCTTAGAAGCTAACTGGGGAACCAGCATCATTATCTTTGTTAATTTTTGAGAATCCTACATATAATGTAAGTAAATATACTCATTGTCCACTGAACACAACTTTTTCATTTGTTTGACTATTTGTGGGAGGGTCTTGCTATGGAGCCCAAGCTGGCCTTAAAATTGATATCCTCCTGCCTTTGTCTC